GGGTCCCGAGGGTCTCCCAGCCCGGGGTTTGTGTCCCAGCCCGGGTGTTGGTGTTTTGTCCCAGTCTTGGATTTGTGTCACAGCCCGGGGTTTATGTCACAGCCTGGGGTTCGTGTCACAGCCTGGGGTTTATGTCACAGCCCCCAGTTTGTGTCACAGCCTGGGGTTCGTGTCCCAGCCCCCGGTTTTTGTCCCAGCCCGAGGTTCGCGTCCCAGCCCGGTGTTGGTGTCACACTCCCCGTTTGTGTCACACTCCCCGTTTGTGTCCCTGCTGGCACACTCGGCTGGGTGACACGCTGGTGTCGCGTGTTCCCCCCAGCTCCCCCGGAGCGGGGCAGGCCGAGCCCCCTCCCAGATAAATCCAGTCCAGCCAGGTCCACCCCAGGCAGTTCCACCCCCGCTCGGCGCATCCCCTTCCCTAAATCCCTTTTTTTGGGGACACACGAGGTCCCCCCCTCCCGCTCCCGGCCCGGTTCTCGCTCGGAGCGCCCCCCCGGCCCGGCTGCAGCTGCGGGGGCCCCCGGAGAGCCCCCCGCCCTCAGCCCGAGCCGGGCGCAGCTTGCGGGGCCGAGCGGCGGCGGCTCCCCCGGGCTCGGCACAGCCGGCGCGGGGCCGGGGGACAGCGGGAGGGACGCGAGAGGGGTCCCCGCGAGAGGGGACGCGAGGGGACGCGGGGGGGACACGGGGGGACACGGGGGGGACGCGCCCCCACGGCCGCCAGACGCTGCCGAGGGGTCGGGGCGCAGCTGGGGAGGGACGGGGGGAGTCGGGGGAGGAGCGGGGTGAAGTCAGGACGGCCGTGTCCCCTCCGTGCAGCAACCGGGACAAATCTCAGCTCTCCAAATGCCTCGTTACCCCCAGGGTTGTCCTGAACCCCATTTCCTGGCACCCCAAATCAGTCCTGGAACCCCCAGGGCTGCATTGCGCCCCATTTCCTGGTAGCACAGATCTCCCCAATACACCCAGGGCTGTCCTGAACCCCCATTCTTGATACCCCAAAACAGTCCTGTGACCCCAGGGCTCTGCTCTGCCCCCATTCCTGGGACCCCAAATCCCCCCAGTACCCCCAGGGCTCTGCTCTGCCCCCATTCCTGGGACCCCAAATCCCCCCAGTCCCACAGACCCCCACTCCAAGGTCAGGGGTCCCGGCTGGACCCCAGCACAAGGGGCTCGGATCCTCTGGCAGACCCCCACCCTCACCCCAGCCCCCCAAAAAAGGACACAACAGCCCCGGGGCGAAGCTGCTTGAAACAAGACCACGAGTTTATTTGAGCTAAAAACCCCAAATCTGCTCTCTTTACAAAAGGATAAAACATTTTCAGTACAAAAGGGAAGAAGCCCCAGGACCCGGGGGCTGGGCAGGGACCTCAAATCACCTCCAAATTCCCAACTTTATACAAAACCAGGGAGATTTGGCCAACCGGGCTGGCCAGGGGCATCAAAAATAGTTGCGTGGATTTTCTTTGAGAAGCAAAAAAAATAAAATCGTTGCATAGCATTTAAAAGTTATTGCTCGTCTCAAAATGCACAGAGGAGTTGGGAGCTGTTGGCAGGATCCCAAATCCATGGGATAGCCGTTAAATACCGAGTTTGGCATTAAATATGGAAATATTGGGGTTTATCACCAGCAAAAAAAAATCAGGTGGTGAGGGAAATAAATTAAATAAATAGTGGCTAATAAATAACCCTGGAGCACCAGCACGGCAAAATCCACAAGGTCTCCAGGCAGGGAATTCCCACTACGAGTCTGGGAGGCGGCGGGGGAAAAACCTTGGGCACATCCCAAATTTCCATGGAAAACGGGAGGAAATAAATTAGGACTCCTCACACACGGTAATTAATAAATAAAGCAGGAATTAAGACAGGTTTTTGTTGGTGCTCAGGACTCGGAGCATGGGAGGGGATGCTGTGAACCCAGAGGAGACGAGGCCTGGAGGGGGTCGGGGGTTCCTGATCCAGGTGGGATTCTGGGAGGTATCAGCAGGATTCCAATTAAATGGAGATTTTGGGAAGGATCAGCAGGATCCCATCCAGATCAGCAGGATCCCAATCCCATTGGGATTCTGGGAGGATCAATGGGATCCCATTCAGATCAGCGGGATCCCAATCCTGTTGGGATTCTGGGAGGGATCAGCGGGATCCCACCCGAGGTTCCCAGGTCTGTTACAGGGCACAGGGAGGGTGAGGCTGGGGAGGGGGGCGGTGGAGGGGTGGCCACAGGGCCTGGCTGTGACCCCAGTAAGAGACTGGGATGTGCATGGATGAGGGGCCACCATCACAGGGCAATGGACCACTGTCCCTGGATGCTGCCCCTCCATCCCAGGACACTGCCCCTCCATCCCAGGACACTGTCCTTCCATCCCCAGACACTGTCCCTCCTCCCCTGGACATTGTCCCCCCATCCCTGGACACTGTCCCTCCATCCCAGGACACTGTCCCTCCATCCCTGGACACTGTCCCTCCTCCCCTGGACATCGTCCCCCCATCCCTGAACACTGTCCCCCCATCCCTGGACACTGTCCCTCCATCCCAGGACACTGTCCCTCCATCCCTGGACACTGTCCCTCCTCCCCAGGACACTGTCCTTCCATCTCTGGACATTGTCCCCCCATCCCCGGACAGTGTCCCCCCATTCCTGGATTTTGTCCCTCCATCCCTGGACATTGTCCCCCCATACCTGGACAGTGTCCCCCCATTCCTGGACCTTGTCCCCCATCCATGATGGCAGAAGGAACAGGTTCTCCCCAGGGTGGGAATTTCCATGCTGGTTTCTCACAAGTGTCCGGCTCATTCCCACCCAGCCACTGCTGGACTGGGAAATCCATGACCCCACACGGGGAAGGGACAGTGGGCACCCCGAGGGGCAGGAGGGGCTGTGTCCCCACATTGGGGGGGACAGGGAGAGGATGGACAATCCAAGGGCTGGACCTGGTGTCAGGATGGACTCCTGGGGGTGGAAACACCTTCGGGAGCATCTCTGGGGGACGCAGCAGCGACCGCTCGGAGTCCGGAACGGTTCCCGTGGCTCCTGGGGACAGCTGGGACAGCAGCAGTGGCACCGGCCACCTCCAGGGCCATGTCCTGCAGAGATGCTCCAGCCGTGTCCATCCTGGGCTCTTCTCCCTGCCCCAAAGCCGCGTCCGGCCCCGCTACTCATTGAAGATGGCGCCGAGCTGAGGCCCAGCCACGTGCGGCGGGAAGGACTCGAAGGCGACGTCCAGCGGGATCTCGTAGCGGGGCACGGAGCCCTGGAAGTGCGAGCCGTGGCCGTGGGCTCCGGCCAGGCTGACCGAGGGGTAGTGGGCCATGAAGGGGGGGTAGGACTTCTCCAGCTCCGGGGAGCCGTCCTGCTTCAGGGAGAAGTTCCCACTGATGCTCAGGGGCGGCGTCAGGGGCCCCTCGTAGGGGGGCGTGGAGCAGTCAGAGGGGTGGCTCCCGAAGGAAGCCTCCACCAGGCTCTTGAAGGCCGGCGGCTTCAGGTGCAGCAGGTGGGACTCCATGGAGCCGTAGGGAGGGCTGGGCAGCCCCTGGTAGCCGAAGGAGTGGCCAGGCAGGGCTGCCTCGCAGGGCTTCTCCTCGTGCTTCTCCAGGAAGAGCGGCTGCGCTCCCAGCTGCAGGCAGCCGGCCACCAGGTTGCTGGTGGGCTGCGAGAGCCCCTTGCACAGCATCTCCACGAAGCTCTTCCCCTCGGGCGTCTGCCCCGTCTCCAGCACCTCGGACAGGGCCCAGATGTAGTTCCTGGCCAGCCGCAGCGTCTCGATCTTGGAGAGCTTCTGGGTTTTGGAGTAGCAGGGCATGACCCTGCGCAGGTTGTCCAGGGCGTCGTTCAGGCCGTGCATCCGCGTGCGCTCGCGGGCGTTGGCCTTGACCCGCCGCGCCCGGAACCGTTCCAACCTGGCCTTGGTCATCTTCTTCTTCTTCGGGCCCCTCCTCTTGGGCTTCTCGCTGTCCTCTTCCTCCTCCTCCTCCTCCTCCACGCTGTCGTGCTCCTCCAGGGCCGGCACCAGCGCGAAGGGAGCGCTCCTGGTGTCCCCCTCCTTCAGCTCGGCCTTGGCTGCCGGCACGTCGCCCATCCAGGCCTGGCTGCTGACGAGCTCGGCCATGTCCGAGGGCTTGGTGCAGCTCTGGGGCATCTGCAAGGGAGGGACGGGCACGTGGGGATGGATCCCAGAGGGAGAATCCTCAGCGCCATGGGAAAATCTCCCTCCAGGCACAGCCGCAGTTTCTGCTCTCTCCCAGCCCTATGGATTCCTTTTTTCCTACTATTTCCCTCTCAATTTCCAGCGGATTTTATTTGGGAGATGCTGACGCCTCTCCCTGAATTCCAGCAACGTTCCCAGAGCTTCCAACCATCCCATTTTGGGGTTATTCCCGCTCTTGTCACACCCCAACTGTCACACTGGGGGTGCCAAAAGGAGGCTGGCAATTCCTGGTCTGAAATTTTCCTTCCCCGAGCCTCCCTTACCCTCGGTGGCGGCCCCGGGTCCCCGTTAATCGGCCCCCCCAAATCCCATCACGGCCCCTGGCTCATTCCATAAAGCTTTAGCCCCTAAGCAGCTTTGCTGGAAGTGCTGCTCCCCTTTCCCGAGCATCCCACGCGGAAAATCCCACTTTTAATATGCGTGATGGGGCTCCCGGGCGGGATTAGGGTGTTAATTGCTGTCCTATCCCCAAAGGACCACGCGGCCCCAATTAACTCCTGGCGGAGCACCGGGGGTCTGGCGGAGGATGGGAAACCGGGGGGGCGAGGGCGGGGAAGGATCGATTTTGGGGTGAGGGGATGGCCCCGGTGAGATCAGCCCCAAAACGCTGCAGATCAGCCCCAAAACGTTGCAGATCCGCCCCAAAACCCCCCCAGGCTGCAGCCGGGGGTCCCTTTCCCCCCATCCTCGGGGATCTTCCCTCTCCTCGCTGCTCCCGGGATCCATCCCGGGAGGAAATCCCCGGGTTTGGGGTTCCCTTCTCGAGGGGAGCCCCGCGCCCCCGCCCTGCCCGGCATTTCCAGGGAAAGTTCTCCCTTTGGAAGTCCCGCTGGAATTTTTAAGGGGATTTTGCTTTCTTTCTACAGAATATTGATTTTAAAATTAAAAAAAAAAAAAAAAAGAAAAAGAAAAAGAAACAAATCACACAAAGAGGGAATTGCCTGAGGAAATCTCTTCCTTCTCCACCACCCCCAGCCAGACCCCGGTCCCGCCGCGCCCGGGGGTCGCCGAACCTTCGCTGTGTCCCCCCGCCCCGCCCCGGCCCCGGGACCGCGGCTCCGTCCCCAGCGGGCACCGGGGCGAGGGGCTGCGCCCCCATCCCGCCCCTCTCCCCGCACCCCCGGCCGCCCAAACCCCCCCGGGCCGGGGTCCCGCCGCTCCGCCGTCGGGGCAGAGCCCCCCGCGCCATCCCGGGGGTACCGGGAGCACCGAGCGGCCGCGGAGCCCCGTCGGGGGCACGGCCGGACCGGAGTACCGGGATCCCGGTCCGCCCTTACCTGGGCACCACAGCGAGTCCCCGCTGTCACTTGTGTCACTCGCCCGGGGACATGGCGGGGTCAGCCCCGGGGAGCGCGGCGGGAGGGCACCGGGAGCGCACCGGGAGCGCACCGGGAGCGCAGCGGGCACCGGCGGCTCCGCGCTCGGGCGGTTTTGAGAGCTCCGCGCTGCCCGCGGCTCCTGCCCGGCCGCGGGTCCCGTGTGGCTCCTCCCACGGGGGGAGTGACCGGGCCCGGCTCCTCCCGCGGCCCCGCCGGGACCCCGACGGCAGCGCCCGAGCGTCCCGGGCTTGGGGACTGGCGGGGGGGACACCCCCGGTTCTTGGGAACCCCTGGGTGGGGCACTCGGGGACACCCCCGGTTTTTGGGGACCCCTGGGTGGGGCACTCGGGGACACCCCCGGCTCTTGGGGACCCCTGGGTGGGGCACTCGGGGACACCCCCGGCTCTTGGGGACCCCTGGGTGGGGCACTCGGGGACACCCCCGGTTCGTGGGGACCCCCGGACGGGACCCCTTGGATGGATCCCCCTGGATGAGCCCCTGAACGGACCCCCACTGACGGAGCCCCCGGACGGACACCCCTCATGTCCCCCCCCCCCAGTTTGCCCAGCCCCAGGACAGTCCCCGACCCCCCCTCCCTCATCCCTCAGGACACGATGTGACAGTGCCACCAGCGCCACGATCCTGGGGGTGTCCTCACCCCCCTCGCTGGGCACTGCCCCGGTGACACCGAGGGTGACACCGAGGGTGACACCGGGGGTGACAGCGGCTCCCGCCCGGGTGCTGGGGGGGCGCGGGGGCCGCGAGCCCCTCGCGGCGGTAATGAGAGAGCCAAGGGCAGTAATTAGTGCTCGGCAGAGCCAGAAGGGGCCCGGAGGAAGGGACCTCGGGCTCGGCAGCCCCCGGGAAGGGAGAGTAGGGGGTGGAAAAATCCCCCCCCCCCGATATTCCGGGGGTCCTGGGTCGTTTTGCGTGGCCCGAGGACTGGGGGAGCCCCTCTTACCTGGGATTCCCCCACCTTGGGGCAGGAGTGGAAGTGGGGGACAGCGCTGACACCCCAAAAACCATCCCCCGAACCCCTCCTCATCCATCCGCTGCTCCCCAAATCCCCGCCAGCCCCCCGGGACCCCTCCCCACTGCCTGGGAGCGCTCGGAATCGCGGCCGCGGCAGGCCGGGATTACGGGGAATACTAATTAATTCATTAGGCGGCTCCGTGGCTCCCTTCCCGGCGCGCGGCCCGGGCGGCAGGAACAGATTGCGGCCGATAAATCTGCCTGTTGCGGGCCCCCCCTGACAGATGGCTCCAACAGGTCCCGGCACCCGCACAAAGGGGCCGGTGGGCGCCCCGGGGGAGGGGGGACACGGCCCGGGCTCCCCCGGGGCCGCGGGACCCCCGGGGCATTGTCTGCGCCGGCCACGCGCCCCCTGCCCCCATTGTGCGGGGGGACCGCAACTGCTGGGGGTGCGCGGCCCCCCCGGAACGCTCGGCAGAGATTTCCCTTCCTTCTTCCCCTTTTCCTCCCCTTCCTTTCTCCTTCCTCTCTTTTTCTCTTTTCCCTTTCCCTTCCCTTATCTCCCTTCCCTTCCCTACCCTTCCCTTCTCCTTCCTCTCTTTTTTTTCCTTTCCTTTCCTTTCCTTTCCTTTCCTTTCCTTTCCTTTCCTTTCCTTTCCTTTCCCCTCCTTCCCTTTCCTTCCCTTTCCTTCCCTTTCCTTCCCTTTCCTTCCCTTTCCTTCCCTTTCCTTCCCTTTCCTTCCCTTTCCTTCCCTTTCCTTCCCTTTCCTTCCCTTTCCTTCCCTTTCCTTCCCTTTCCTTCCCTTTCCTTCCCTTTCCTTCCCTTTCCTTCCCTTTCCTTCCCTTTCCTTCCCTTTCCCCTTTCCCTCCCACCCCCAGGAACGGGCACAGCCCCCCCGGCCCTGCCCGGGTGGGCACTGGGGGGTCCCCACGATGGGCACCAGGGAAGTGCCACCCGTGCCACCCGTGCCCAGGGCTGGGGGTCCCCAAATCTCCAGCCGTGCCCACCCCAGGAGCCGCCCCCCTCCTCCCTGGAGCCCTCCCACTGCCACTCCTGGGGACCCCCTGGGCCGTGTCTCCCCCCGGGCCGTGTCCCCGTGTCCCCCCCCTGGAAGTGAGGGCAATTTCCAGGGTAAATATCGGGAAAAGCCCCCGCGGCCCGGCTGGAATTCCTGGGCCCGTGCGGAAGCGCAATTAGCGCGTATTAACGGGGTCTAATTTAATCCCGGCAGCTGCGCCCGGGCCGCCTCATTTGCATAACACTGGGGAATGCAATTAGGGAGAAATGAGGGGCTGGGGGGCCCCGGGCTTGGGGAGGGCGGGGGGCTGCGGCCAGCGCTCGCTGACCCGTGCTTGTCACTTTGAGCGATGGTGGCACCGGCGAGAGGTGGCGCGGGGGCGGCGGGGACAAAGGGACGCTGTCCCCGGGGTCCCCTCGGCTGAGTTTTGGGGTCTCCAACCCCACCCCCCACCCGGGCCATCCAACCGCGGGGTCCCGGAGGCTCCGGGGGGAATTTCCCCAGCCCGGTGGGAATTGTGGAAATGTTGGTGCTGGAGGGGGGACACGTCGGGGGCTGGGGACACTCGGGGGGCACCTCCTGACCCCCCAAAACCTGCGGGTGTGGGTGACAGAGTGGGGGGCACCTGAGATGTGCGGGGTGAGCCTCTCGCG